TGCAATATGGTAGACAGGTATCAAAATTTCAGAGAAACCTACTGCCTTCATTTTCAAGGTAGAAGAGTGAGGCCTTCTTCCACCCCAAACATGGAGACAGGATATACATCTGAAATGCAGGTACACACCTACCAGAAGCCCATAATCTTCTGCCACAGTGTCTATACATCTGAATACATAACAAGCTATTTTTATTGCACATCAACTCATGTTCATCAGTTATACAGAAGTGTGACTGGGAATTCTGTAGTCATGAGAGAGTTCCTTTTCCTTTGATAATCCACCAATCAGGGTGTCTAACCTTATCATTATCTGCAGTCAGAACATGAAAATACATGTGCCCACAATACATCACCCTAGATGTATATCTGCCTACAAGTGTGTGAGGGATCTAAGCTGTGTACTGCCTACTACTACTTGAACATAAGAATTATGGGTTCGGATCCCACTTGGGGGAATCAATGTTTTTCTCTAGGTATATGTTCTCCTGCTTGGACACAGGCCCGTCCACAAATTCTAAAAAAATATCCTTATACAAGATTCTGAAACCTGGAAAATGAGAGACCTTGGACACTGGTCTGTCATGCCATATGAGAGGACGAGATGAGAACAGTGTTTCAACTGTGCAAATGGCAAATGTTCACTCCACACTAATGACTCCTTTCAACTCGCATAACAAGATGGCAGTACAATAAATGACCCAAGCAGTGAAAGAGTTTTCCAACTAACTCTGCTCTGGACGTGCAACAAACAATATCAGCGTGAGACTCAATGATACCAACATGAGAAGCTTGGCTTTCTCTTTGAACTATAAATAAATAAATTACATCAACTTCTGTCATTTTGTGTTGATACTGATGTACTGCACATCACAAGAAGGCAGTCCTGCAAGCATTCCTTGTCCGTGCAACAATTTGTGCAATTTCTTATCTTAATGGACCATGACATTATCACAATTAGTACAATTCTGCCTGTACTGGGCAGCTTTGGTTGGGCCACATGTAACACATCTGTAACTTTGTTACTATGAAGTTCCAGATGCATGGCAGTCCAAGAGAAAGAATAAGGCCCACTGAAAAGACTGATCATGCTACACTGCACAATGAGGTACTGTAAACGTGGAAGCTGAAAAATGTTCAATTAACAATTATTACTACTCTATTAGGAATTTCTGTGCATACCAAACAATAAAATCACTGAAAATGTTGGCCAGGATATCTAGTCTCCTGGCCCAACACTGAATCAGACATCACAAACAGGCAGAGCACTGAGAACTATACATCCACGTTCAGTCTGACAGTGTAAATCCTACAAGACATGCAATTTTACTGTAAAACCCTAATGATAAATCATTTCCTAAAAATTCTGAGATGTGTTGAATTGTATTTTAGTGCTTTAGACATGGATTGTATAATTGTTTTTTCAACTATTCTAAAATTAATGATGAGACATTAATTGTAAAACTTTTTAACACTTTTTTTTTTCAAATCTAGCATAAACCCCTGAGAATGGCTGAATAGCCAAAACATGTAGGGTGGAATCAATAATCTATTGATTAAATTTGCATGTGGTATCTCTTACTAAATTTAATCACTTTCTAGAAGTTCATATGTATGACCTCTCAAATGTAAACCAAAAATGCAACAATGTTTCTTTTCTCTGTCCAGCCTTGTCTTTCAGATTTTAGTTTTATAACTGAGGTGATTCTTCGTGGCAACATATCAAACATGGGGGGGGGGGACAAACAAACAAACAAACAAAAAAGTTGGTAGGTGGTAAATTTGAGGCCTTGAAAATTGAATTAATGGTATCTGTGTTTGGAGTGGAGCACAACCAAAGCTGTATTAATACTCTACAAATATTTCCAAGCTCCATCTCAGCTCCAGAGCACTACAATACTTCTAGTCACACAAATATACAGATAACATTTTCCATTCCAAGACAGGTTGAAACTGGCGGCCCTTCACGGGGGGGGGGGGGACTGATTCTCATGGAATGTGATGTAATCTAGTTTTACAGATACTTATTAATCTTCCACCGGAACCTGTTGCCTAGAACTTCATGGCAGGAGAATCAGCCTTTCTCTATTTCACCCTGCTTCAGTTCTCTGTGCCATCAACTCTTGACTTGCCTGCAGCCAAAGTTTTCATCCTCCTGTAACTATATCTGAGTGGCTTACTCATTCTACCCTGACAAAGGTTGCACTGCTAAATTTGCTCTCTGCTCCGGTGCTTGGCCTTCACTCCCTACAATTGTGGCAATTTATTTTTCTTACATTTTACTCTTCTGCCCTGAAGCTGGAGGCAGCAGGTTCCTCTGAAAAACTGGTAAACATGTACCAGCATCACATTCCAAGAGACAGCAATTTTCAGAATAATTATTCTTAAAGAAATGATTATGAGCACAGTCTGTACTCACAGATAACATCTGAATACAGTAAGCTCTCAAACACCATGTCAACTTGAAAGGAGTTAATACTATACATCTGAAATCTCATTGGTCATAACGCTGTCACAGTAAACTGAAGTCGGCAAACATCTATTCCCGTGCAGTGTTGACATCTGGCTTTAGTCTGCATCAAGAAATAATCTTTTCTTCTACCGCATCATTCAATGTCATTCACTGAACTATGAAAATTTGTTCCTGTTTTTGTTACCCTAAAATTGTATTCTTTTGGGAGAATGGTGATAAAATAATATGAAACAAAAAGGATTAAAGGAAATGGAGGCATTAATGGAACAAAACAAAAGCTACTTTAGAACAGCCAATTACAACTTGCGGTTCTGGCCATGAATTCCTTGGCATCTGAGAGAGAGACGAGCATACATCATCACAACAATTCTAACAAAGTGTTTAAAGGTGGGCAAATCTCATATACAGAACAAAAATAATTCCACTTACAGCAGAAAAGCAACTGCTCTTGTGAGCAGGAGAGTAACACATGTGGCTGGTTGAACAAGTGAAATGCTATCACAACAGTTCACATTTCCTTCACAAACCTTAATATATGTATACAGGTTAGCTGATGCACATCAAATTTGTACACTAAATTTTTGTAAATGGTTGTACATTTTTTTTTTCACAGGGTTAGCAGCCCTGTATAGGCACTGGCGGTTCTTGGTTCCTGGTTCGAATGCCGCACAAAGGACACAGCTAAACCATTCAAGTCGCATTTCACTTGTTCGTGCAGTACTAACACACTGATGTGGAAACAATGTGACTAACAGGACCACCACTGATTATCCTTCTAAAAAAAATAAAATATTTGTTGTCTAAGCAAGCACGGGGAGAGGTACAACAGACATTTAAATTTCAGACAAAAGCAGCTCATGAGAGATACCCCTCCTATACCACAGTTCCACTCCACAGAACTCTGCCACACTGAGGCAGCTCAAACAAGAGTTGAGTTCTGTAAGCACTCAAAACAGACCAGCCCTCAAAATGGATTAAATCAACTTCCTGTCCAAAAAACACAATCGATAATTATTCACACTAAAATTCTTGTCTACTAAACTAAAGCTTTGTCACTCTGTTACCAGCCCAATGCAGGTTCAGAGACAAGTCCTGAACTTGGACCATGGGATGACTTGCCTGCTTAGGACTATTGCATACCTCAGAGGACAGTGATGTGCGCGGAGCAATGGTGGAATGAATGGTTCTCAATTCCTGCAATTTAACTTTGTACAGTCACAGAAAATGGTTAATAGCATGAAGGGTAGATAGAAAGTCGTGGGTGAAGAGAACTGAGGAAGGCTATAAAAATAAAATATGCATAAATATTAAGAACATTTACATATTTTTGATCAGTATAAATTGCTTTTCTCCTTCACAGCGAACAAAGCTGTGGATATAGTTTATAGGATTCAGCAAATATTGTGAGACATTGTGAGGGTATGTTTAAAATGCACAGTGTTTCAGAAACCGGATGTATTTCCACCATCTCGCGCATGGGGGGAGGATCCTACACAATAAGGCCTGTGTGAAGGAGATAGGCAGTGCTCAGGTGATCAAGACTTAACTCCTTCCAATAGCCCCCATCCCCCATAAAAAACTCTGTGGTCTGTAGCCTGCAAGCAAACTATACCAACCAAGCAAGCACTGCTTGTCGGCGAAGTTAGTGCCAACTTTTGTGGATAGAAGGTGTTGCGCGGTCAGCACAATGGATCCCCACGGCCTTTAATCTCGGTTTTGACCAGAGCTGCCATTTCCTTGAAACAGCCCCTCAATTATCCTCATGAGGCTGAGTGAACCCCATTCCAGACCCAATGCTTCTCAGAAAATCTGGTAGCACCGGGAATCGAACCCGGACCTCTGGATCTGTAGCCAGGAACGCTGACCACTAGACCACAGAGGCAGTCACTGATTAAACAAACCATAAATAAATAAAACTGATGGTAGTGAGTGGTCAGCTTGATACTGCAAGCTGAACTATATAGGGGGAAACAAGGACATTCTCCTACTCCAAAGTAAAGAAAACGGAATCAAAGATTATCAGATTCCATAATCTTCAACTTACGTTTCCTCAATGTTACTGTATGGTTTTGCCAAAATGAGGACAAATAACTGTAAAAAGAATTAAGTTAGAAAATGCCATGTTACTGCAAAAAGAGATATTAACGACATGAAGGTCAAATAGTTCACGTATTCTTACACCTCAGGTCTAAAGCCAATATTACATTTTCTTCTCACTGAACTTGTAATTAATGCAAAATTTCGTTAATCCAGGTATAGTGAATCTGAATCGAAGTATGAACAATGCTGTTCACAGATGCAGAGTGTAATGAACGCCTAAGAACCATGAGGAAGATCCTAATTAAAGAACGTCATCAGAGGTTTGTTCAGACAAAACTTGACAGTTTCTTCAAACCTGCATTAATACATTCAAACACAAGTACAACTTCTGAGTCTTCTACCAATGAATAAATGTACTGTCTTTTTATAATATTTAAATGAAGTCTATGAAATATTTTTTATTTATGTTCATCAGCACTACTTATATCATTAAATTTTCCATTTATTTGTGTTCTAAGTTTCTTTTTTGCCTTTTAGGACTACCTCTGGCTTCACTAATCCAGATTATCACTTAATCCGGATGACCCCCCCCCAATTGATCCAGACTGGCGAGGGTTTACTGTAGTATGAATGGGGTTTCCCCATGGATGAAGCATAGTACAGTTTCCACAAGCAATGTGAGATACTTATGCCAAACACATGTGCAACATGTGGTGCGTTATTACTTCTACTGCGAGATACCTGCAAACCTTCCCTCGTTTAGTCGCAGCTGCCTCAGAAACTTGATGCTGCTATGGCATCATTGTTCTTCAACACAGTTCCATTACAAGAGATATCTATATTGGTTGGCACTGAACTTGACAAGGTCTGACCAACATTATCATTCTTAACGAACTTTTCACCACCTGGTGACGAAGTAGCTTTATGCCCATAGTAATCACTTGTCATCATTCTGTCATCATACAGTGAGAACCTGGCACTTAAGTTCCCCTTGCCACGTATTCGTCTCACAGACGGTGGTACATCACCAGGTGTTTTCACACGAGAATTGGGGTCCTTCAACAGGCGTGTGGTGGAGTCTGAGTGACGCGTGCCAAACACTTGCTGGAAATGCTCCTCGAGACTCTGTCGTGAGGCAGAATTTTGTTTAACAAGTGGCAGGGTTGATGGTCTGCGGTTCTTGGAAGTTTTAGAGACCTCTTCCTCACCGATACTTTTATTGTTCTGGTTCTCCTCACTGTATTGGTTTACAGGGGACATAACTGATGTCACCACCCCGTTCTTCTTTCCACTTGCTGGAAGGAGGCACACTTGAGTCTCCATGATCATGGGAGTTTTCTTTAGGGCTGGCATCAACCCGTTCTGGCGAACCAAAAGATTTGACTTGGACTCATCACTCTCAATCAGAGAATCATTGTCTTTAGATACCATCCTGTTTGTATGTTCACAGCCACATCTATCTTTGGATGTATACATTCCAAAAAGCACATGTTTCTTTGAGTCCAGCAGTTTCCGCAACCCTCCCCACCCACCACTCCTTCCCCAGTTTCCCCACTTTGACACACTTTTGCTTCCATCGCCCAAGGCAGATCCATTCCCAGGAATGTTCGGTTGTTTAGGTATTGTGGCATAAGTGGTAGTGTTGCTGGAGTCATACACAGCATTTTGAACGTATGGAATTGGAGTCGCAGGACGCAGGCTGTTGTTATTTACGCCCTGTGACATGCCCAGGTAGTCATGCGATACCAATGACTGCGATTCGAACGTTGACATATAGTGGCCTGCAGTATGCTTGGAAGAACGATCCACCAAAGTGTTACCGTTGCAGGACAGCTCCTCGTCTGATGGAGCCTGCAGCATCAGGTTCCGTTCCATGCATGGGTTTCGTCCCTGGTATGGCTGCAGGGGCCCTCGTGACTGCGACTGAATGGCTGATGGCACACCACAATTGTTCACTACTGTTGCAGTGTGATTGGAGTTCTTGTCTGCAAATTGAGAAGTCACTTATACTGTTAGAGATGTAGAGAGAAGGAACAGTCTCAAGCCTGATTAACCTACTCACATCTGTAAACACATACATGCAGTGTTGTGACACCGGTCCATTTCACCAAAGAGCACATATTAAAAACTGGTAAGAGATTGTGTTTATGTATCTCAGCGTTTCATAAAGTCGAAACTGTTTTCTTCAATGTATGAAGCCATCTACGATAAACATCTCTGAAGGAGCATTATTATCAAATGGTGATACCGGCAGTGATGTCGTTGGAAAATTATTAGACTCCTCAGATCTCATTAAACATTCAGGACTTTTCTTTTGTAATATTGTCTACACAAGGAATGATATACCCTCAAAGATGTTTCTGACAGTTGATACATTAAATTGATATCTTGTGAACACGTAACTGTTGTTGAAATGTAAGATTCAATTTCGAGTGGAAAAAAAATACTGCAGGTGACACAGGCATTGGCAAGGAAAGTGTTTCATGATGTACATGAGTTAACACAGAAACATAAACAGGTTAATGTACACAAGACATTTCCTTACAGGCGGACACTTACATGATGAGTCGATGTGCGGTTCCGATGGAGACATGGTGACCATTGTCTCCACAGTTCCCTCTGACATGGTCGACTCTTGTGTGTCTTTACCAAACGTGGCACTACTCTGGCTCCCAGACCGCAAGGAGCAGCCTACAAATGCAAAACACACAACTACATCCAACTATTTCAGGCACATATTTGGAAACTTCAAAACATAAGACAATAGTCTTCAAATCACATTGCTATTATGGTGGATGCTGTACATTGTGTTTATCTATTTACAGTTTATTTAACTGTACTGTCAGCAACTCAGCCTAGAGTGTCAATTTATTGGATGAGAGTGAATAATGAAATGCTGAAATGCAAGGGGTGAGTATGCAAGTGCCCATGGCCTAATTTAAAGTATAATCCATGCATTTTCCAAGAACTCACGGCAACCACAAGAAATTCAGTCAAGGCAGTTGGTGGTTCAGCCAAGATTCGAACTAGCCACTTCCAGAATATAAGTTTCAAATGTTATCACTTGTGCCAACTTGTTGCTTGAACACTTAGGTGTATTTGATATACATGGCATTAAGGAAGTAACTCTGCTTCCATTTTCAGGTAATCTGGTTGTCACTGTAGAGAGAAAATTGTTTCTAATATTTCTGGCTCAAACATGGAATTCCTCGAATACAAACTGTTGGTCAGCATACAGGTATCATATGGAATGGTAAAAAAAAAGGTAAAGATATCCCTGTAGCAGGCTGTGAAGGCTAATAGGGTTGTGAGACATCAAGGATCCAACATTTTCTACACAATCAGCTCACAGATGGCGGTGAGGTTGTCAGCCTTACACGCTGGCGGCCCTTTACCCCCAGGAATATTCCTGGTACTCATTTCTGGTACAGGCTGAGTCGACTCCAGGTCATAGTGTGGCTGCAAGGATTTAGTAAATAATAATAATAATAATAATAATAATAATNATCTCACTGGGACTCGAACCCGCCACCTTCCGGCTTGTAGCACAGTGCCTCAGGCAACTACGCTACCGTGTGCCCCTTAGTATCTGAATGGTTCTAAGCACAATTCTAATCTCTGCTAATATAGAAAATAATTTGTGGGTTGCTTTACAATGCAGTTACCAGCCAGACAATTTAGTGTCATATGGTACGATGACAGATCAATGATGAATTGGAGAAGAACTGGAAGTAGGTGGTCATGGTAGCTGAGGAAAACTCTGAAAAGCTTGGCCAGGATAACTGGTGTCCCAGCTGAGATTCAAACTGGGCACCTCCCAAATATGAGTCAACAGTGTTATTGCTATCTGTTAGGTACAGAAAAGAGAAGAGCCCTGAAATTCGATATGCGAGGGTAAGTGGGCTACCTGTTTCTTCCCCTGACTCCAGCAGCAGCAATCTGTTGGAGTCCGACTGCAGTGCTCCAGACACAACTGCAGCTCCTGTGTTGTTGTTCACATTGGTGCGCGCTGCTGCCGCCAACTGGCCCTGTGTCCCACCATTAGGAAAGGTAGGGTTCACTGTTGGGCTCACCCCGGATACATAGATTGTTCCTATAACACATGGACAGACACCTACTGTCAGTGTTTGGAGAATTAAACTCTATTATTATCATCAATACACAGCCTACTATCACATTCTACCTTTTGACAAAAGATGATTCTCTTATGAAAAGTTGCATGTCCCAGGACATGATACCATGCACTCTGGTAGAAATTCATTGACATCTCAGATGAACATATTACAGAGAAAAACCAAGCAAGAAGCAGATGTCATTGTGACACACAGAGCCATTGCTGGGCAATGACTCAGTAAACACATTCCCACAACGATGAACACACAGGAAACTATCGCATAACTTACACCGCTATGCAACACATTATAAATACAACAAGAGAGGAGGAGGTGTTTTCTATGTGGTTCACATATATTCATTGCTGGGCAATGGATGCGTTTCCAATGGGTCCACCCTGAGACCATATAAGTGGTATAGAACAGAATCAAGTCAGTCATAGAATGACAATAAGAATATAGGAGTCCTCTGCAGTCAAGGAAGAAGAGTTTGGCTGAAGACTGAATGTGAGTTATTGTAATTAAATGTGATTAAGAGAGATTGTACCAGAAGTTGTTTATAAATCCAATCCAAAAACCGATCTTATTGGTCATGGAGCCATAAACTCATGACAGTATGTTCCTCCAAAATATCACTCAACTTCTACTAGACTACATGGTGTCATATCCCAGGAGACAGCATTCTTCTTGGTCACTGCTGTGGGAACCTCAAATCCAACAGAACCACCTTTATTTTTACACTGTAATTGCAAACTCTGTGAAGTTATCTGTCAATAGAAAAACAATCATCAACAAAACTGTTTGCACTCAGATTTGATGGTCTACAGTAATGGACCGATTCTGCTTGCTCTTTATTCTGCACCAATACACAATGAGGCCTACCGCTTCAAGCAATAAATTTCCTGCTTGCTACCAGAAGCATCCTGCTATCTATACATGCCCACCAACTGTCACAACTTTACCTCTTGCACACACAGTCTCAAAGTTCTGGGTTCATCAGAGATGAAGCTAAGATTGCACAGCAAAACAAGAACCGCATCTGATTGGGCGTTAAGGTAAGGCATTTGGTACAAAGAGAGTGGGTGTCATGCACTGTACAGTACCTCGCTGGCGGTCCCAGAGAGTGGGCAATTCCTGGAGCCGCTCTTCGACACAGAGCGCGGTGAGTCTAGCTTCCGCATCCTGATCCCAGGAATCTTCCACTGTCTCTCGCACCAGCCTGACAGCAGTCCAGTCACGCCACAAAGCTGGGAAGAGTGGGCGTGCCTTATGGCGTGACACCAGAACTTGCATCTGTTCGAACGTCGGGTGGTGACCTGTAATCACACAGACTCCATAATTATCTTCCCACTCAGAGACACATCTCATCTTCACCAATCAAATCATGCTCACTCACCGACTTCTGCCTCAAATGGCAGTCTGTATGGCGGTATCTCTGCTCCGCTCTGGTACAGGTCTGAGCACCGTGATGCCAGCTCCCAGAGAACAAGTCCCAAGGCATATACATCTATCTGTTTCAGTGATGACTCACAATCTCTCAGATTAACTGCCCCCTCCAACACTTCAGGTGCCATGTAGCGTAGCGTGCCCACCTGAAACAACAAGTGCAAAGCAAATTTTATCCATAGGCAGAAATATTTACTTCCTCACTTACTTACTCTGTTCCTCCTAGGACCTCAGCCTTCTTACATGTTCATTCTTCTCTACTGTTTCCCTTTTTCTTCTGCCCCTTCACTTTCAGTACCTTCTGACATATGTTCTGACCCATTTTGAATACATGCCTCTACCACGCCAACATTCTTCTTTCATTATCCACTACCAGATCAGGGTTTTTATATAATTCCCTCAGTTCTTGGTTAGTTCTGATGCCCCATCCCACTTGCCCAGTTACTGGTCCTTACATCACCCTCACAATTTTTCTCTTCCACGTATTTAACATAACCTCAACTTTATCAGATATGGATCATGTTTCATATTCATACATGACAACTGCTTATAACACTGTTTTGTGTTTTTTATTTCTTATTTTCTGTCCACACTTTTGGATTTAAAAATATGTCATAAATCACATCGCTGACTGTTTGCAATACATGATTTTCATCTTGATTTCTTCACTAATTTCATTCTTCCTTGTTACTGAAGTACCAAAATACTTGAACCTTCTAACCTCTTCAAGGAAATCTGCAGGAAACATTCGAATCCTGTTTAAAATTCTCACATTCGTGTACATAATCTTACTTTCTTTCTTCCCTAATCCAATAGCCATAAATACAAACTAAAACGGCTTTATGGCATTGGATCTGCCCCAAGAAGATCACAATTAATCAGCTGAAAAAAAAAATCTGGTTTCTCTGCAACTCAAGACTTCATCCTCATGTTCACAAAAGCCCACCCCTGGACTCCAACCCCATCCTTGCCATTTCAAACCCAGTTTACTTTGTTCTCAAATACAATTCCATCTCTTCCCAGGTGGATCTGGGGTTTGAACAGCGGTAATTATAAACAGAATGATCTTCGGGGCTAATGCTGTGTCGTCTGGGCGAAGTCCACTGATGTTTAAGAGGAACACCTTGCCTCCATCTTCAGAGCTGAAGACTAAGCTAAGCAAGAAAAGAGCGAGTTGGTTGATAAATTCTGTATAAAGTTTAAGAACCACTCACATCATTGATGGACTTGGTCTCTGCATGTTGCTCCTCCCCATTGTGGAAGTATTTTGAACCGGAGATCTTCATAGCAAATCCCAGGTCACACAGACAGCAGGACAGGTCTGCCTTCACGAGGATGTTACGAGAATTCAGGTCCCGGTGAGTAACGCACGGTTTCATCTTATCTGGAAGCAGAAAAGACATTTATCCAGTCAGTCACCACTATTAGGTACACACAGAAGATACATGTAGTTCCACTTACCTCCTTTTCTTACATCTGTGTGCAGATGGGCTAGCCCCCTAGCTACAGATAAAGACATCTTGCAGAATGTGGGCCAATCCAATACATTTGTTCTGAGGTAGTCTTGCAGAGCACCGTTTGGGGCATATGACAAAACTAGAAGGTACTCCACACAGTTTTCCAGACTCTCTCTTTCAATGTAACCTGCAAACAAAGCAGATCAGCAGCTCAAACAATGAAACTGAGTCCGAAACTGGATCCTAAGTTACGTTACCTAGCGATGTGGCCACACACGTACCAAAATAGTTAAGCAGGGCTGGGTTATCCATAAAGGGAAGGCAGTAGATGTCACGCTCATTGTAGAAGTAGTTGCGGTAGTGGCTGGGGAAGATCTTTACTGCCACCTCCTGGTCATTGACTGTTCCTTTCCACACTGACCCATAACGACCTTGACCTGCAGCAGATGAACTGAGTAATACCGATAATATTCTAAATTAAAGCTGTGAATGTTATCAGAAAGCGGGCACACCAGAATTGTCCAAAAAATCTACACTGCAAATAATAAGTACTCTTCGGCATAACGAACTGGATGCAGGTATTAAAGTGATGTTTCTGAATTGGTGATCTATAGCTTTACAAGTGCATGATAATGTTATATTTATACAGTACCTCAACTGGAAATCTTATTACAGAATACTCCATGTTACAGAAGAATTGTTGTTCTTAAAATGTGTCCTTGTCATGAAATTCTGTTAATGAAAACCCTATTTTTCTATCAATACCCATACTGTAACTGGAGATACATTCGTACTAAACAACACAAAAAATAAAAAACACATAGACAAAATAAACAAAAAACTACATTTACTGATGCTATCTAAATTTAAACAGAAGTTATTAAGAGTAACAACAACACAACAACAATTCGTTTTAGAGTGGTTGCTAAGATCACTTGTGCATGGCAGACTAACGCTAAAATTCACAACACAAAGATAAATTGAAAAAGAGATAATATTAAGTAGAATTATACAGAGGAAATGCATCCCTCGGAAAATGCACTAAAAAGAGGGTAAAGTGGTCCCTGTGCTTAACTGAAAGCACTACGCCATGAAGGCGTATTGGGGAGTGGATGTATAGATGCACATTTTTGTGACCTCAGCACTAGCTGGAGGTGAGTGGTCAATTTCATGTCCTGCCCACTTTACCTCTTGGGAAAGTGTTCCTGGTTCCCATTGGATAGGAGGCTGGGTGGGCCCCACAACCAGTCTGGATGATATGAAGGAGGGAAAATTGTTGGCCCTACCAGGACTCGAAGTCCATCCCCTTAGTAGTCCAGCCCACAGCCAGTCGCTATACCAACTGTGCTATCCCAGCTATCCTAGAGAACCTGTACTCCTATTAAATGCATCAAGAAACTGACACTATTAGCAGCACCAGTACACCTGGCCGAAGGACCTTACTCTATTGCTTACAGTAAACTGTAGAGCCCCAATTAATGCATTGGGGACACAAAGCCTAACAGTAACCACAGCAGTGTGACAGTCTGTTTTCCAGTGACAACAAGATCATAATCATCAACATCGTTGTCAATTCATGTTCATCACTCACCAACGATAGTGGAAAGCTTCAGGTGCTCAAGAGCATAGCTGCCAGAATGCAGGCCATTAGTACCCCCATGCTCCATCAGATGGACAGCATCAGGAGCTGGCTTGCAGGCACCCATGACACCGTCACGACAAAACCGATACATCAACACACCTACTGCCACCATCATCACAACTGCGGACACGCACACCAACGGGATGATCCATGCAAGTCTGTCGGCAGCGGGCTGCTCCAGGAACTCTGTTGCTACAACATCACCACTGCGTTCTTATGGCTGTATTCCACATCATACATGCTGTTTGTAACATTACGTTTCTGGACATAACCCTATCGTGTTTTGGTGCAGGTGTCCAGGGACAGGAACTACCTCTACTGATTCGGCCAAACTAAGTGAGTGCCACCTGAAGACGGAGACAGAATACAGTCTCCGAAACAATGTGTTTTAAATAAAAGCAGGAGGATGGATAATGTCTAGAAACATAATTTGTATGTTATTTTCTGTTTATAAACCTCTCAATGTTTTCTTCATGTTTTTCTCCCATGTTTAAGACCTCACCGTTCACAGAATTAATATATGTTAAAAGCATTTCTGTACAGGATGCATGCGGGTGTCACGCTTACACTCTTTCATTTTACTGTATCCTGTACACATGTCACACAATTTAAACAGGCCTAAGAGGCTGGCTTAGCGGTAATGCTATAGACTTGCATTCAGGAGGTTCCTGGTTCAAATCTTGGTCAGGACACTGACTATCTTGAGTGAGGTGTTTGTGGGTTTTCTCAGTCCCTTCAAGAAAATGCCAGGATAGTTCCTCAAATCAGGACACAACCACTTCCATGCAAATCATTTCCATTTATTTCATTCATCTACTACCCTACCATTCAACAATACATACCTTATGATACTGAAAACATGATAAAACAATAAAAAAAATGTACAGACCTATTAGGCTTATTTTTGACTGTCCATCATCTGGTGTTTAAAAGACAAATAAAACTACAAAGTTTCAGAGACTGAATCTGTCTCTGTCCTCAGGTGGATGGGGTAGGATAAACCTACTCAGTTGGGCCCGTGGTCCAGTGATTGAGACTAGCTCTTTCTAACGGGCCCAGCTGAGTAGGTTTATCCTACCCCATCCACCTGAGGACAGAGACAGATTCAGTCTCCGAAACTTTGTGTTTTTTTTTTGTCTTTTATACACCAGGCAATGGATAGTCAAAATAAGCCTAATAGTTCGGTACAGCATACACCATCGTCAGAATCCTTTTAAGTCTATCAATAAAAAAATGGACAAAATTCTCACCTGGAGACTCAATATTAGGATCATCTGCTTGGGAAGCTACATACACATCAGAGACATTCATGTTACATAGGTCACTGTTGCAGCAACAGAATTTTGTGTTGTTCAGTGCCTTTGGGGGCTTCTTGTTGGCGACACATGCGTTCTGGTGGCAGTCCTGCTTGCCTGACACCTCCCAGCATCCTGAAAACACAAAACCCATTCACTGAGTCTCTCTATGCTTGTACAGACATCACACTTCAATTGGAAGGCTACTTAATGACACTGTCATTAGTTACTTAACACCATCCAATGGTAGGATGACAGATGAATGACAAACTAGAAACGATCTGTAAGACGTAGTTGTGGCCTAATCAAGGTATTTTCCTGCAGTGGCTGAGGAAAACCTCATTAAACATCTATCAGGATAGCTAATGTCCAACCAAGATTCAATCTTATTCATACATATGCAGGTTTGTACAACCAATCTGTATTGCAGTAAATATTAAATTCTTCAAACATTGCAAAAATGGAATTGTAAACAAACGTGTCAAAAGTGAGAACACAATAAATGATGACAACAGGAGTAACAAAAAAAAAACCTTCAAAGAACACCAGCAGATTCGACTACATAAACAAACAAGCATCCAATGTCAACGACAGAAGACAAGCTGCGTATCAGTCTATCCAGTTGCAAGGTGCACACCACAATGTGTAAGGGAGCAATGTGATTCTGGACTTTGATCCATGCCGGTTACAAAGTTCATCATTGCATGAAGTGACTATCATCAAATTGGCACAAGCCACTTCTGTTGTGATTCACGGAACTCATTCTCTCGCTGCTTCCAATTCCCAAGTACAGCACACTGAAACAGTTCCTTCCTTACCAACAAGTAACAGAATCGACTGACAAGTTATGCAATACTCTATCAACTGTAGAGATTAGCTATCTCCATGGAACTGGGTTCTTCTTGAGAAACTAATAGCTGTGAAATATCTGAGATTTTCACAGCAGTGACTATGAAGAACGTCGTCTTCTGGGATATGGCACTGTGTAGATCTTATGTGAACCTACGTTTTGGAGGTGCCTACCCTAAAGACGGAGGCGATATGCTCCTGCAAGATGTTGGTTCACAAAAGTTCTACATGGCGCCACATTCCAAAGACAGGATTCTTCAAGCTAATAGCTGTTTAACCATTCAAGAATTTCCAAGCAACTTATGAGACCTGAAATCTTCACAGAAGTCCACCACTCTTCCCTGTCATGAGGCACCCGAATCCAATCCACACAATCCCATTGTATTTCTGAGAGATCTATTTTAATAACATCCTCCCATGTAAGCACAGGTGTTCCTAATTGTATCTTGCCTTCGGGTTTTCATACCAGAACTCTGTACGCACTTATCTTCTTTCCCAGGCATACTACTCATATATGCCCTGCTCATGTTATCTTCCTTGTGTAGACTGCATACTTTTGTATACAGTTTATATATCTTGTTTATAACACACAACAGGATGCATACTATTAAGATTACCCTCCTCAACTAAAGAAAAGAATAATGACATCTTATTCTGCACAATTCTTTTCTCTACACGAAATAAATAAAGTTTGTTTAAAATGAAAAAGTCTTTGTGTGGTGTTATGTTTACAATAACAACACACAGAGATAAAAATTAAATCACCACTGAAAAGGTCTCTCTCTTTCTCTACCTCTCTAAGAGACTGTGGGGTTCAATACCAAGAAAGGTTCAGAAATGCCAATGAAGATTTTGTCCCCAATGAAGCACCTTCATTAAAACCATTCCACAATAAACTGAGAGCATATTTCTGTGGTGTTACAAATAAGACAGTTAAGCAAAAAACTCAGTTAAAATGAGTAGTCAAATAATGAGTCACTATCAGACATAAAATTTGATTTCTGTAAACTGGCCACCTAATTAAGTTGCCAGCTTTTGACTAGAAATATTAGTGGCTAACACAGACAGATTTACTGCGGTAAATTTAAAAAGAACCAAACTCGAGAAAACACTGAATGTTACACAACAGGATTCTTGAAGTAGTTATCTGAGGAAATTAATGTAATCTGTTTAAAGGTACTTTTTTCGCTTAGTGGGGGCGTGCAGTCCAACTGAGTACACTCGGCACAGCTGCCACTGATTGGCCCATTGTAGCCTGCCCCGGGTAATTATGATGATGCAGAATTTGGTGGAATGATTGGCAGGGGAAACAGAACTACTCGGAGAAAACCCGGCCCAGTGACACTTTACTTAGTAAGTTTGATACAGAGCTCATGTAGTCACTGCATTACAGACGTTTGATTTTAACTAGTGTGCTTTAATTAGCAGCAGTTTACATAACTTACAGATTTCATGCATAATACAAAACATTCCTTATGTTGCAACTGCAAATAAACATAACCTTTGCGATGAACTGCTCGGTAAATGTGAAGTGAAAATAAGAATGACTCTGCAATTTTTACTGAAATCTATTAAGTGGTAACATAACTTTAAGAATCCTAAGTTCATGGGGCACCTCCAACCTCATGTGACTCCCATGCATGCTCTTTATACAAGTAAACTGAGGGGAGATCTTGTATCAGTCTGTTTGTCAAATGTTTCATCTCCCAAAGCACACAAAATATCGCTGTTTTATCCCTTATTCAACGACGCTTCCAGTATCTGACTGTAAAGCATACGATGTTGGGATGACTATGAATGGTGATCTCAGAAGGATGTTGGGGAGCAGTGGTTATGACATACTATTCTAGCACTTCAGTGGACAGACCGGGGAAAAACACGAAAAGCCTGTCATGGCTGACACTCACACAGAACACATCCAGAATACAAGCCTACAGAGTTACCTCTGAACCCACCAGTTCAGTTCAGCAACATGGTGTCAAATAACAGGCAATTGGTGAATAATGAACTGGAAGGGGTAAGGAAGCAGTCATGGCTTCATTTAAGATACTACACATTCTATATAATCTGTAGAAACCCATGAGAATCCTAAGCTACAACGGTGTTCTGGCCAAGATACGAACTCAGCACATCCCAAATACAAGTTGGAAGTGTGACCTCTTTAAGTCTTGTTTGTTCGGTTCCTGTGTGCTGATATTACTATCATACTACAGTGAAGTAAAACAAAGTTTTTCCCATGCTTAATTAAGCACCATGCCTTGAAGATGTATGGTACAGTGAAGTACTGCTCCAGCACTGTTAACCTCTCCATTATACAGCAGTTGAGTGGTCAGTTCCACATTTCTGCTGCTACATCTCAGGGAAAGTGGTGAAGTTGTTTGGTGGGCCCTTGAGCCAGTCCAGAAGCTATGCAGATGAGAAAACTCTCTTATGTCTGCCAGGAAAAACGGCAAAGCTATCCCTGTAACAGTCCATGGAGGCCCATAGGGTTGTGGGACACTGAGGCTCTCACATTTTTTAGACACTCGGCTCACAGTTGTTCAGTGAGGTCAGCCTTACAAGCTGGCCACCCTTTACTCCCCATGAAGATTCCCGCTACTCATTTCTGTTAGGGGCTGAGTCAACCCCAGGGCCACATTGCAGCTGGAAGGATTAGGTCAAATGAAGAATCCAATAACCTCAGCCAGAAATCAAACTGCAATTCCCTGGTTGTCGGAACTGTAACACAGCTGCCACACCTACTGAGCAATCCTGTGCACTATGACAACCAGAACTGAGAGCAGGAGAGCCAAACATTACCATGCAATATGTGCTGCAACTCCTACATTGCAAAGCAGCCATTTGCGGTTGACACGGTTGTTGTTAACGTCTCTTAACTATGTGGTCATCAGAAAATTCCAACAGATGTCACATGCAGCCAGATAAAGCAGTTCAGGTAAAGGTCAAAATTTTTGGCACCTGGCACTTTTTTAATTAAAAACTTTAAGCTACATCCCTTAGTTTGTATGTGGTGGATATTGTACCATTCTATCAAAAGTTGTACTTGTTCTATGTTAAGGGAAAACAGACGTTAAGGAAAGAAACATCATGTGTGTCCAAGTAGGCAGAACTCAAATTGCACAAATTTAAGAGTGTGAAGATATCCAACAGTGATCACAATATGTGTACTGTAGGAAAATACAAGTCATAGATGCATCTACAGCAAGATGACATAACAAGAATTGGCGCTATCTGAAATACGTTTTAACTGAATACATCATATCTAATCACAACAAAAGAACAGACACTAACTCGAAGGTCACGTCTCTTTATATTCATTCGATTATGCCAGCCAGATCCTACATTGCTTCTTCAAAACAGCCTACCATCCTTGAATATGTTTCATTATTAAGATTACTGTCTTTGGCAAAGTTATGTTGCATAGCCTGGTATATGTTTATGGTGTAGAGTCCCAAGAGACACAAATCTTCACAATCAATGCTGTGTGAATGCCAAAGCACATCTTCCCATTACATATTTCCCTACACACTACTCAAACATAATGATTAAATGTACCAAATCAGATTTTCTTTTCATAATTATCAACTATGTAAATAGGTAACTATCTACTAACTAACGTCCATGGGGCAAAACTCTTGCTATGGCAGTAATTCAAATTAAGCCAGGACAACTTCCTTTCAAATCCTTTCCAATTCATTACTCAGAATCATAAATATAGAATCACAATCATTAAGCACTGTATAGTTGAAACTACTGGCAGGATTAATTTTTTTTATTGCTAGTGGGGTGGGACTAAATCCCTTGTACTGCGACCACTTCTGGCCTATTGTACCAGCCCCAGATGATAGGTGAGGGTGATTGTGGAGCAACTGGTGGAATGAAGATTGGCAGGGGAAACCGAAGTACTTGGAGAAAACCTGCCCCAGCGCCACTTTGTCCACCACAAATCCCACTTGACTAGACCCCAGGGTCGAGGCTGGGCCGCGGCGGTGGGAAGCCAGCGACTAACCGCTTGAGCTATGGCGCAGCCTACTGGCTGGATTATTATAAAATAAATTATTTTAAACAACCGATGCACTGCAAAAGGCGCCATTTAAATAAATAATTAAACTAAAAGCAATGTACATGATGCAAACAGCTTCTATGGTTCATGATATATTTTGGCTTAAATAAAAATCCGAAGTCAAAAAGCAACACAAAACCGGCTTCAACCAAAATTCAAGTTTAGAACGATTCATCTGGGAAACGTAATTGTGATACTTAAGCTGTAGCCATGCATTAGCAGA